TGAGCACCACTACGTATTAGTCTACTCCGTACCACACTAATCTCGGAGGAGACCGAGAAAAAATCGCTCCAAAGTTTTAGTAGAGCTGCAAGTCTGACTATTGCATGCTAACGTTGGCCAAGACAGAGACTGTTACTTGGGTAGTTTCCGTTCCTGTGCTATTCTTGTACACTACCTTACTGTAGTGTAGTGTATCGACCTGTAGACCCTGTGTCCTTCTGAGAAGGCGATAAAATAGTGCCAACTTACCTGGATAACTTGGCTGTGAGTACCAATCAGACACTATGTAGGGCTGTGTGTGGATGGATAGCTCCACCAGACCTTTCCAGTTGTCTCAGAATTGCTCTCTGAAAAGGCCACGGAGAGGGCAACACTAACACTTGACGTGTGAGAATACTACTACCCAAGAGGTAATGTTCCAGACTCGACGCTAGTGGCAAACGGTGATTCGTGGGCGAAAATAGCAGTCATCTAAATATCCAATAGTGTCCAATGACAGCGGTCGATCATTGACTGTGGAGTGCATCTTTTTTGTTCCATCATTCGTCCCTTTGGGCTTGCCTCTCCATCTGCCTTCTCAAATTTTTTGGTCAAACGGAGCACACTGGTTTGAATAAACATGAAATGTTCCGGTGGGTTGGAGCAGGATGGCTGATGTAACCGAGGTTGCGCATCCCAATTCTGAGTGATAATAGAATGTACCAGCTACCGACTGTTCATCAACCAGGGAAAGAGTCTGATTACGTACAGTCATCAGGTACCGCTAGGTACCACTGGAAAGAGACAATAATCACGAGTATAGAGCAAAAGGTCAGTTGATGGTCTCAATAGGTACTGTGTATAGATCAGCAGATATCTCAGCTATCAGTTATCTCCAAGGTATCTCCATGGTAATCCGTATCTGCTTTGTATCTATAGTTTACCGTCTTAGACATGCATGCATCAACCATGAATCCTTTCCATTGATGTTTTAACCTGTAGATAGACTAATCCCTGTTCCAGACCCGCCTCCACCGAGCCCACATGTGGGCGGCCTTGTCCTCTTGTTCTCCGCGCCATTCCTAGTCATTATCCGTCCATCTCAATCTTTTCTTCTCTTCCCTGTCTCTTTTCTGTCGCTTTTACATGCCATGCGTTTTTCTTTTTCTGTCCTATAGTCATTCGTTTCTGCCATATACCTCTGCCGTCTAAATCCTCTGGTGAAACCGTCATCGCCCGCTGTCTCGTCCATGCCGCAGTAGATTCTAAATATCATGGTCCACTTCGCTCTGCGACAGCGTGACGATCCGTCGGGCGCTGAGCAGTTTCTCAAGCTTATTCAAGACCCTTTCAAATCGGCTGTAAGTGCTCCAAATCTCTCTCGATTCTGCAATCGCTAAATCATGTCCGATAGTTCCAAATCAATGCCGTGTGGGCTTCGCTAGGCGCCTCCGCCGGTATCTCTATCCTCCTCGCTCTCCTCTTCTCCCTCTTTCGTCCTCGTCACACTCTTGTATATGCGCCCAAAGTCAAACATGCGGATCGCAGACATACTCCGCCCCCAGTCGGTAAGGGCTTCTTCGCCTGGATGAGGCCCGTCCTGCGCACGCGAGAGCCCGAGCTGGTGGAATGCATCGGGCTCGATGCGACCGTTTTCCTGCGCTTTACCAAGATGTGCCGCAATATCTTCATCATATTGAGTATCATCGGATGCGGCGTGATGATTCCGGTTAATATCACCAAGAGCAACGGCTCTGGCATCTCATCGTTGTCGGCGTTTGCGACCATGACCCCGCTTTATGTCACAACGAACGCGATTTGGAGCCAAGTCATTTGTGCCTGGGCCTTTGACATCATCATTGCCTACTTTCTTTGGAGGAATTACAAGGCCGTAACAGCTTTGCGGAGAAAGTATTTCCAGAGCTCTGACTATCAGCGTAGTCTGCATGCTCGAACCTTGATGGTGTGTTACGCCTGGCCAAGCAGCTGGTTTTACATCGATTACTGACTGTTGGTAGATTACAGATATTCCCAACGATGCACGTTCGGACGAAGCCCTTATGCGCCTTGTGGATGAATTCAACCCCACAGCTGCTCTCCCCCGGGCCTCCATCGGCCGAAATGTCAAGGATCTCCCCGTGTTGATCAAGGAGCATGAGGAAACCGTGCGGCAGCTGGAGTCCGTCCTGGCGAAATATTTCAAGCGGCCCGACCAGCTACCTGCAAAGCGACCAATGATGCGACCTTCCAAGAAGCAAAGAGGCAATCATCCGGATTGCAAGGTAGATGCCATTGATTACCTCACCGACCGCATCCAGCGTCTGGAGGAAGAGATCCGGCACGTTCGCGCCTCCATCGACAAGCGCAACGCCATGCCGTTCGGGTTTGTCAGCTGGGATATGATTGAGCATGCACATGCCGTCGCCTATACCGTGCGAAAGAAACACCCCCGAGGAACCACGATCAAGCTGGCACCGCGCCCGAATGATCTCATCTGGGAGAATTTGCCGTTATCCAAGCAGACACGAAAGTGGAAACGGTTCATGAACTTCATCTGGACTACTTTGTTGACCGTTGTATGGATCGCTCCTAACGCCATGATCGCCATCTTCCTGTCCAACTTGTCCAACCTGGGTCTGGTCTGGCCTGCTTTTCAGACGTCGCTCAATGCGAACCCGGAAGTTTGGGCCGCGGTCCAGGGTATCCTCTCACCGGCGATCACTTCCCTGGTTTACCTCCTTCTACCGATCATCTTCCGTCGCTTGTCCATCAAGGCGGGTGACGTGACCAAAACCTCGCGAGAACGCCACGTCCTGAGTCATCTATACTCGTTCTTCGTCTTCAATAACCTCATCGTTTTCTCGCTCTTCTCTGCCGCGTGGACATTTGTGGCCGCTGTCATTGATGCGAAGAATCACGACGAGGACGCCTGGCAAGCGATTAAGGATGGCGCTTTCTACCAAAAGGTCATGAGCGCCATGTGCCAAGTGTCTCCGTTCTGGGTGACTTGGCTGCTGCAGCGCAATCTCGGAGCCGCCATCGACCTCGTGCAGCTGGTCACCCTGTTTTGGGTTTGGTTCGCCAAGACCTTTCTCGCGCCCACGCCCCGGCAGGCCATTGAATGGACTGCGCCGCCGCCGTTTGATTATGCGAGCTACTACAATTACTTTCTCTTCTATTCAACCGTTGCGCTGTGCTTCGCGACGCTGCAGCCCATCGTACTCCCAGTCACTGCGTTGTATTTCGGATTGGATGCGATGTTGAAGAAGTATCTGTTGCTCTATGTGTTCGTGACGAAGACGGAATCGGGCGGCCAGTTCTGGCGCGCCCTATTCAACCGTCTAGTCTTTGCGACCATCCTCTCCAATGTAGTCATTGCGCTAGTGGCCAAGACCAAGGGCACTTGGACCATGGTCTACTGCGTGGTTCCGCTGCCGTTCCTGATGCTGGGATTTAAGTTCTACTGCATGAAGAAATTCGACGACGACATCAAATACTACAACCGGGCTAACCTGACCGATGCGGAGGCGTTCGCTGTTGGCAAGTCGGGCAAGAAAGGGTCTGACCGGCTCAGCTCCAAGTTCGGCCATCCCGCGCTGTACAAGCCTCTGATCACCCCGATGGTGCACGCCAAGGCTGCCGAGGCGCTCAAACAAATATATCGCGGACGACTCGGCTCCTCGGACGTCCAGGGAGAATACTCGGACATTGCAATGGATCCCATGTCGACCGCGCAACCGGGCAAGGCCATGGACGCCGCCCCATCGGCACCCTTCGAGGTCGTTCCCGAGAATCATCTCGACTTTTCCTATTTCAAGGATCGTCCAGACTTTCGGGACGAGTTTGGTGGGGGCATCTATGGCCGCCCCGAGGATCTGATGACCGAGCGGTCCCATACGCCGCGAAGCCACTTGGCCGAGTGGTCACCGACTACTTCGCGCGCATCGTCGCCTACGCCGTCGCTGCCGTCGCTCTCTGGACTTAAAATGCCCGAAGGCTATGATCCAGTCGCGAACGATATCCACCCTGCCTTCCGCCCTCCGCTCTCGCGTGAGGAGAGTGCGTCGATGGGCGCCGGTCTATATCATCATCCGAGCGCGAGCGAGTCTCAGCAGCTTCTAAGCCAGGCCCAGGTGCCAGGCACGAGCGAGATCACACCTGCTCCCCTGAGCCGATGGCGGACTGGAGGATACGGTCCTGTTGAGCAGGACGATCCCAATTTCACCTCGTATGAGCACTACCGTCCTGCGCGGTAGTTGCAGATCTGACAGCTGAATGGGTTGGTTATGTCATAAACTTGTTATTTTGCATAGATTTGGTCGGTTTGATTTGATTTGACTGTACATTTGACACGGGGTTAACGAACTTTACGCCTATAACACATTGGATGACTATTTCATTTATTATTATGACCTGAATATACCTCTGTAGTATCAGCTATATATTTCTGGATGCGATCAATAAACTGAGTCATGGAAGTTTCCTGGTGTAATGGAACATGTCACTGTGATGGTATGCTTACGATTTTCCCCATTGGGTCGACAGCGGAGGCGAAGTCGAAGTTGGCTTCCGGTGCCTGAACAGCTAGCTCTGCTCTCCTTACTTACGAAGCAGTTTGCTTCCTTCTCTCCTGAAATTAAAGAGAGCAGTCTTTTTCCTTTTTGCAGTAACACAGTTTCTCTTCAGTGAGCATGCTATCCGAAAGCTTACTTTGACATTGATGTCACTGTCGCTGACTTCCGACCCCTGTCCGACGATATCGTACGCCTCCGCACCAAACCGAGGACTTGAGCTCCGCATCGACTCTCTCTCACCCCTGCCATCCGCCAGGATCTTACCACTCGCTCTATCTCCCCCGAATGCTTTGCAGTAAGCGGGGGAGTCTCTGAACTTTGAGTTCCAGCCCATTATACAGCACCTCCGTCTACTGAGCATTCGCCCCTCCGCACGAATGCTCCCCGCCTGACAATACGGCATCCTGTGATCCTCCACATACGAAGAAAAGAAACTCAAGAACAACCATGGCGTGGTACTCCATCCTTCCCCCAGACTTAATCTACGTCGAGAGCTGGGCCGCTCGAATCTTCGTACGCCTCCACCCTCCCACGCGCCCCTGAGAACTCGCGCTGAGCGGACGTAATGTCAATGCTAATGTGTGACCGGGTTCAGGTCTTCCTCGGCGTCATCACCATCTTCCCCTGGGCGGCGCTGATCGTCTTCGACGTGCTGTTGTATATCTGGCGGATGGGGGCGTACGAGTTCCCCGTCGTCGGGGGTCGGGCAAGAGGGATGCAGCGGCCGCGGGCGCCGACCTTGAATGTGAATGTCGGCGAGAGGACTGAAGTGCCGAGGCGGGTGTTTAGGCTTGGACCAGCTGTTAATACCGCGGGCGGCGGGGAGGTGGGTGAGCAGATGGAGGTGAAGAGGAGGGAGCGAGTGGTAACGGATACGGATGGGTGAGGCGGGTTTGCCCCAGAGGCGCGATGGCCTTGTGCTGTTTGTTGCTGGTTGATTGACTTGCAGGTGTGGTCTCGTCATGCTGTGTTGTTTTTGATGTTGTTTTGTGCGCTCTGTGCGCTCTGTGACGCTCTATTGATACCCATATGTTTATTGTTCTTGTGGTCTGTCGTCCACGAAGACGGTTGTTTATATTCTGTGCTGTATGTATGTATACTTCTACCTGATCATACGTGGTAGCTCCATGAGCCCAACTAATGCAACTATTAGCCTACACGATTCAACATCTGCATAGCTGGAGATGGTAGCACCAGACCTGATATCATCCCATAATGATTCGTTCGGTGCTTGCGTCGAGTCGGCGTACTCCCCGGTTCCCCCCGCCAATCGTGGCACAGACCGAGCTTGATATCCAACCGGGCATGATAACTATCTATCCCCACTTGACTCATTCCTATACAGTATAAGTATATTATGGACGCATCATGGACGTGTCCGAGGTACGAGTCCCATCCCCTCGTAAACGGCCATGTCTACCGCTGGATTCCAGTACCTCGAGTCATGGAGACTCTCCCTCGAAAGAAACCCATCCATCATCTTGGTCCTAGTCCTGGCGATTGGGACATTCGCATTCGCATCCGCATACTATCGCAAGATCAAGGTCCGTCTTGCCATCCTACTCATTTCAATCACTAACGCCAGCCAGACCATTCCATCCAAACATGAGACCTCATCGGAAGCAGAAACGGGGTACCCCCCCATCACCCCCCTCCCCAACTTCAACTGGGAAACAACCGAACCACTCGTTTTCCGACCCTTCAGGCCAAAATACCACTTGACGATGGGTATGCTCCAGTCACAGGTCCGCAAGACTGCAACTAACGCAATCAGGCCTCTCCACCATTTCCATCTCAGACCTAATCCAAATGGACAAGACCTACAAAGAGCGGATGGCGCTGCGCGCGTCCCTATTGAAGGAGTATCCCGACGTCGTGCTCGGCGTGCACGATGACGCCGATCCGCGGATCCGCCGCGCAGTGGGCGAATTGTACGGCTTTGTCATGGGGACATATCTTCCCACGCGGTATCCGACGATGTTTTCACTGTCGGCTAGGCCCGGCTTCAAATCGGTCTTTCTGGAGAATAAGGTCACGGGGAAGACGTACCCCGTGGAAATGGGAAGCCAGCCGATCCTCGAAGCCCTAGAGATCCTGGGCCAGACCGTCGACGAGGAATTTCTTATCCTCTTGCCTGACGATGCTCGTGGACAGGACTCAGACAAAGAAAGCGAAGAGAGATACTTCCTGGCGGCGTACACGGCGTACTTCCCGTCCGGGTTCGACACGCGCACGAAACTTGGTCTGCGGCTTGCGGCCATCCATGACCCGGTCCCCGGGTACAAGGAGAAGCTGGAGCGGAGCATGGACCGGTTCTTTGCGCGGGTGGAGGTGGGCAAGGTCGTGGCGAGGGTGAACTGGAGTATTACGACGAAGACAGGGCTGTTTGCTGCGTTTGGGGGCGTGCATGGCTCGACGGAGGCGTCGGCGAAGGCTGCTGGAAAGGAGGAGATTGAGCCGGGGATGTTGGATGTTGATTCGGTAGGTGGTGTTTTCTCTCTCCTTGGGATTGTTGCTTATTGCTGATGCTGAAGGATGTAGACGGTTCTCCGGTGTGAGCGGCAGACGCTGCATCGGCTGCCTCGGAGTAAGGCGCTGGTCTTTGCGTTCCATACGTATACGTATCCTCTGCAGACGATCAAGGACGAAGGACTGGGCGAGGAGCTGGCGACGGCGATTGATGGGTTGAAGGCGGGCAATGTGCCCGGGATGCATTGGTACAAAAGGGGTTCTGTATGGGGCGAGGCCGTCAAGCACTTTCTCCGTAGTTGATTGATGGTTCTATGCTTTTTTTTTTTTCGCTAGGACTAGGACTATATCTAACCCAATCGCTGAATCACCTTGATGAGGTCGGCCGTCACACCCATGGCCGTGACATCGCCGCCCGCACCGGCGCCCTGCACAATCAACGGGTTGCTTCCGTACCGCTTGGTGTAGAAGCTGATGATATTGTCACTACCCTTGAGCCCCGCAATGGCACTGTCCTTGTCGAACTGCTGCAGCCCAACGCGCACCTCTTTCTTCGCTACGTCCACGCTACCCACGTACCGCACGACCTTGCCCTGCTTCTCGGCACCCTCCTTGATGGCCGCCATCTGTGCATCAAATTTAGGCAGTTCGGTCATGAACTGCGCGATGCCGTCCGCGGTGGAAGGCAGCGCCGCGAGCTCGGCGGGGATCAGCGACTCAATGGGGAAGGCGTCTGGGCCCTGGACCTCGAGACCCGCAATGCGCGCCAGGATGGTCAGCTTGCGCGCCACGTCCATGCCGTTCAGGTCATCGCGCGGATCGGGCTCGGTGTATCCCAGCTCCTTGGCCTGGGCGACAACCTCGCTCCACTTGGCATTGGAGGCACCCGACACGGGGGCAAAGGTGTTGAAGAGGAAGGAAAGCGTGCCGGAGAACACGCCCTCGATGCGGGTTACCTCGTCACCGGTTGCAACGAGATCGCGCAGCGTCGAGATGACAGGCAGCCCGGCGCCGACGGTGCTCTCGTGGTAGACGAGCGCCTTGCCCTCGGCGGCCGCGGCGAAGATCTCCTTCCACAGCGAGAGGTCGGAGGAGAAGCCCTTCTTGTTCGGGGTGACGATGGAGATGCCCTTGCGGAGAAAAACCGGGTACGAGCTGGCCAGAGCTGGGTCGCTGGTGTTGTCGACCAGGATGGAGCGGCCGGGGGCGGAGGAAAGATAGGAAGCAATCTCTTCGGGGGACAGAGCACCCGACTTGGTGAGCGAGGGGACTTCGGCGGCCGCCTTCCAGTCGCCAGCGGGGATGGCGGGGGAGTAGGCCGGTGTCGGGGCCAGAAGCGTCTGTGATGAGCGAGCGAGGAGGATCAGCTTGGGGGCATTGGGGAGACGGGCGAGTTGGTTCAGGAATGCGGTTCCAACACCACCGACGCCTGCATTCATTGTAAGCGTGAGTCAGTACTCCGGTGCAGCAAAGGTGGGATGCTCACCAATGACACCGAGATAGATGTTAGACATGGTCAATGGTTGGGAATTCTTGATCTTTGCGGCAGAAATGACTATAGATCGTGCAACAATTCCAAGTAACTTTTCACTAGAGAATGAACAGGAAAAGAGACAGCAGAAGATGAATCACAAAAGTAGCAGGAAGCCAACGCTGTAACCGTGGGGTCGCGGGGCAGCGATTATCGGAGTGCTGCCTGAGGCATTATTATGGTTATCTAATCGACATCAGCTTTAGCTTCACATACAACATTTACTGCTCTTCATCTTCTCGGAAAGTAACCCATCAACAGCTCACCAGCCAACATCACAAAATGTCAAATACAAACCCATCCCTCTACGGCATCCCCCGACATAGTCAAAAACCCTCCTCCCAATCAACCGCCCCCTCCGCCTCCACCCTCGCCTTCACCACCCAGCTCTCCTCGCTCATCACCAAGGGCACCGAGTCCCCCGCCCGCGGCCGCCCTCGACCCTCCAAATCCTCCAAATCAGACATCTTCGCCGTCCACAACAAAGGCGCCCAGAAACGCGCCGCAGCAGACCTCCGCGATGCGGACGATGAAACCTCCGTCCGCCAGATCCACAAGCGCACCGCAGACATCGGCGCCGTCGACGCCGCCACCCTGCATCGCTCCAAGCGGCGGCTGGAGGAAAAGGCGCGCATGTATGAGGATCTCAAGGGCGGGCTTTACCTCGCAGGTGACAGCGATGACGAGGCAGACACCAATGTGGGCGGGGACGATTACCTGGCAAGACTCCGTCGGAAGGAGAAGGAGGGGCTGGTAGATTTTGATCGGAAGTGGGCCGATGCGCAGCGAGCGAGGGCGTCAGATGATTCCAATTCCGACGGGGAGGACGGGGAAGAGGCCGACGATAATGCGTCTATTGTCTCGTACGAAGACGAGCTCGGGCGGACCCGGCGTGGCACGAGGGCCGAAGCTGCGCGTGCTGCGTTAGCTAAAGCGCAAGAGAGCGGCGAAGGTCAGGGTCCGGAGCGGTGGCGGCCTGCGCGGCCCGAGAAGCTGATCTACGGGGCTGCGGTTCAGGCGGAGGCGTTCAACCCGTCGTCGTTTGCGGCGGAGCAGATGGCGTCACTTGCTGCGCGGCGGGACCGGTCGCCTACGCCGCCGGAGGAGACGCACTACGATGCGGATGCGGAGGTGCGGAACCGCGGGACGGCGTTCTATGCGTTTGCCAAGGATGAGGAGACGCGGAGGAAGCAGATGGAGGAGCTGATGAGTGCACGGGAAGAGACGCAGCGCGAGCGGGAGGCCAGGCAGGCGAGGCGGGCGGAGCGACAGCGGGTGAAGGATGAGAGGAGGCGGCAGATTGAGGAGCTACGAACTAAGAGAAGGGCGGAGACGTTTCTGGCTGGGTTGGGAGATCTGGGTGCTCTGCGGGCGGATGCATCCTAGATATGAGGGGTTGTCTTTTATAACTTGCTGTACATTATGATACCCTGTTTCCAAGCGAATACCTCACAAATGGATATATCAACGAGGCAAATAAGCCGCTCAATGATCATTTTCTCATGACGGTCATGGCACATAAATCATGGGTATTATGTTTTAGTCATCAAGTTCGTCCACAATGGTTCCGTATACGATCAAAAGTCTCACCGCGATAGTTCTAGCGAGTGTTCGCCAGCTCTGCGATGGTCTCTACGAAGCCTTGCGCATCTACACCCACGTCAGTATTCCCTGAGAACCCTGAGATGAGCAAAACTTACCAGCACGATTCGTAAACTGCAATATATGATCTCCCCTCGACGTCTTCTGCGGGGTATAATCGGCCGCGAACATGAAGATGGTCTGACGGAGCTCACGCAGCACTACCACCTTGGAATCCGGACGGCGGATCCAGCTGCGTGTCCCGAGATACTGAGTGATAAAGGCAGTCCACACAGGGGCTCTAACAACCAGTAAGCTCAGCTTTTGCATTCTCTGTGGATTGGTAAATACCGCTTCATCTCCCCCTTGTGGACGGATGCTTGGAGTCTCACGGCGCCGGAGACCTTGTCCCGGTATATGCGCAGCGCGTGGAGGTAGTTATCGTCGAGGATCTGTCTGTTGCAGTGTGAGCTTTGACTTGGGCTTGTGTCTGCATGACTCACCCTCCAAAGAGCTCTTCTTCGTTATCGAGCTCGTAATCGCGGATGCTCTCCACAGGTCGACCGGCGTCTTGGGAGCGTAATGCGAGAAATGTGCAGAAGAAAAGGACCATCTCTACTGCTTATCAGCAAAGGTCTCTACATCTGGTAGAATGTGACATACGCTCAATGGTGCTGAACTTAAAGTTGGCCCACAGGACCAACTCGTACCCTCCGCGCCGTCGCCGGCACAGGTTCAGGCAGGAGCCAACCCGGACGATCTCCAGGAGATTTAGAGGCATGCAGAAGTATTCGCTTGGTCGAGTGGTGTGAGGGGCCTTGCACAATATCCGCGCTCGGTGGTCGTCCTCGCGAAGGTAGAAATGCACGCGAAGGTCCGAGTCGCCGGTGAAAGCTCTGAGACGGTTAGCCGCAGGTTCTCTGGGGGAGCAGGACCGGACCTGGTATATGCTCACAATTGGAAGAGTTCCTCGAATCCTTCATCTTTGAGCCATCGCTTGACTCCAGGAGAATGGTCACCAAGACATTTCGAACTAGTGCCATCATGCATCAATAGCTAGATCAATGGCCTGGAGATATATCATGCTCACCTTTCGCCTACGTAAGGAATGGGGGTCATTGTGATCTCATCTAGAAATACCCGCTTGGCCCAATGGTCGCTCACAAGCGTATTGGAGGCAGCAGACTGACTGGTAGTGGTCGTAGAGGTGGTAGTAGGCGATCCCGGCGCATCAGGCGCGGAAGGGGGGATATCCGAAAATGTCCCCGACGAAGGAGAGAGGGGCGATTGAGGCGAGCGATGAGATGGTCTGGCTCGCTCGTACGACCTACGGTTACGGGGTCGTCGATCACTGACTGGACTTCCCGGCTCGGCACTCGTGGTGCTCGAGGACGGGGTGCCTAGGGAGAGGCCGCCAAATCGCGGAGTAAGCCGGTTTTCTTGCTGGATCAAGAGGCCCTTGAAATTGTTGCGCAGACCGCTCATAAGAGATGTGTCAGGAAATTTGCTACGACATCATGTCAGTATCAGACCTGGGGAGGAAAAGAAGCTGAACGCACTCCTTGATCAAATCCTCCAATTCCCGGAGAAACGTCTTGTACTTGGCCAGACGAGTGGGAAGCGGTTCGTGAGATTCCTTCTGAAAGAAAGCAGTAAGGCTAAGCCATGTCCGTTTGAAGACCTCGCGGTTTGACCCTTTCTGCACTTCAATGTCGCCGAAGAAATCCACAATGTCCTCGAGTGTATACTTCAGGCTGGTCTGCACCAGATCCAGGTCTTCTTTGGCGACAGCCACATTACGCCGAAACTGACGATTCTTGGTGAGGTCATCCAGGCTTGTCAAAGATGTGCTGATGGAGTAGAGGTCGGCAATGAGACTGGTGATCTCCGTTGCATGTTCGGGCAGAGGATCACGCAGCATCCGGAAGCCAGCTGCCACATCCTCTGCGTTGTCGGCCGATGTGCGCAATGCCATTGCGAGGGATCACATCACTGGGCCGCGGCCTTTAACCAGAATTTCCCTCGGGAAGTGTGGGGTCTGTTATATACGGGTTGAGAGACGAGCCGGAATTGTAACGCACAAACAGTTGACCACTGTAGTGTTCAAATCAAGAATATTGAGATGAAGAAAAAACATACACCCAGGGACCACACAAATGGTCGCTATACGAAGTAGTGTGGAGTTACATCC